CCAAACCCCTTTGTGGCTGCCCCCGACAAAAAACTTCCGGACATCCCTTTCGGGAAAAAATGGGTGTACCAAAATCTCAAAAATTGTACAGTTTAGGGGGCGTACACAAAAACATAAAACTTACTGCAGTTCATTTTTTCTGCCGGGTAGAGGGGGTTTTCAAAATTTTTCAATCTTTTTACCATAAAAGTCTGCACAATACCATTTGGACCACGATACGACTGCGCAAAAAATAGCCACAGGATTACAATTGGCAGAATTTCTGAAACGAAATTTTTTTATGTTTATGTTAAGAGGTTGTAACTTAAAAATGAAATAAAGGAATTTATACATAAACTAAAAAAATAAACCAAACAATTTTTTCTGAAAAATTTAACTTTTAATTGTCCCAAAAGGTTCTGTGAAATATTAAGGTATCATTAACGGGAAAATTTCATAAGTTGCAGCTGGGTTTTTGTGGTCCTTTATCCAGGGTCTTTAAATACCTGAAATTATTCATCAGAGGATCTTTGTTTATTAAAACCAAAGTCCAACCTTTTTAAAAAAAAAGCCCTGACTATTTTCAAAAAGTCTAGACCTAAATTACACGTAAAATTTGTTCGGGTCTGATCAACCAGCTTTACGCTGGCCGCATGCAAGCTGACGTACAACCCACAGTCCGTGGTCAGGTTTTTATTTTAGGGCCTGTCCAAAGCCTCTTGAAGACCCAGGGCTATTGGGAATCCCCCTTATGTATACTGGGGGGCAACGAACTCTTGGGGGGCCCCCGGGCACTTATTGTGTTTCCCCCTGTACTCGTGGGACCCCCGCTTTTCAATGGGGAATGTTGCATCTCCCGCTGATCTTTTTCTTTCATATGGAGGATTTTCGGTTTTCAGGTTGGTACTAATCCCCCAGGACCCTTCCCAAAGGGTTTTTTCATGTATCTCTCTCACTCATTCGAGGAAACAGATCAAGGGCCTTCAAAACCCCTTCCCAGTAATTTGGGGCCTACAACTAATGTGTCTGTGAAAACCTTTTTTATATCTCCAGATCTGCAGTGTCGCCCCCTTGAAGGGGGCCGTGAGGGACAGCATATTCCGCCTAAGAAAAACAAGTGATTTGAAAAGAATCTCATGGGGTTGGGGTCCCTATTTGAAGGTTCTCATTACCATCCATCATTTTTCCTAGCAATGAGGTAATAATTGTTTTTGGTCCTTTGAGGCGAATCCTCTGATATTATCACCCCATCCTTCACATTACTTTTCCGCTCTATTGAAATGGTTAAATTTTGGTATACCCTGACCATTTTTAATTTCTTCAAGTTTTTCCATATCTGATAGAAAAAATTTCTCCTCGTTAACATCATATTTTTTAGGCCCATTCGAATTTTTTGGTTGGGTCCTCTTGATCTCGGGTGTCTTCGATGGAGGTTATTTTGCCATGGAAACCCAGGTGTTACCCACAAAAAAAAAGGAGCAGGCTTACATCCGTCATGTCAAAAATCAGGATAGGTTTAGAAGGGGAGCGGTACGTCCCTTGGGGAACAATTTTTTTTACCAGGCGCCGGGGACTTTACTCGTTTACTTTTACTTTTTTGTGTTCTATTTGCAGGAAGTTGAGATCCCACCAATTTTTCCTTTATTTTTTTTTTTCCTGCATTTGTGTGCTATTACCCCAAAGGTCACACTTGTAAAAAAGCTTTAAATAAAGGTTTTAATTTTTATTTTTATTAGTGTTGTCATCCCTTTTCCCAGAGAATACCCCCATCCATGGCATACTTTCCATTGGGGAAAGTAAAATCAACACTATGAAATACTTTCTCCCCATTAAAAAAATAATTTTTAACTGTTAAATTTATAAACCAAACCCTAAAATACTTTTAATTGATTTTCAACTGCAAGCAAAAACGAGGAAATTTTGGGTTTAAAAAATTTTTTGGGGAAAAACATTTTCTAAAATTAATGCTAAATATTTATGATCAAACAAAAAAAGGAACCCTCCAACAGGCCAATGACCCATCAAGCGGGTCCATCCAAATTATAATAAAACCGGGGTTTTTTAGGGGAAAAATAAAAAAGGATACAAATACGACTTATCAAAATTTTCAGAATGAAAAAATGTTTCAATTGGGTTTTTTCTCACAAAATTAAAAACAATATATATGTGTGCCGAATAGGAAAACTTTTATTTTGGGTTAAATAGCAAGCTCTTCTTGCCATATACAATTTAATCTACATAACATAGATATGTAGATATAAATCCATATGTATTCCATCATTCCCGGAGGGAACCACAGTCGATGGGCCCCCACTCCAAACCAACAATACAGATCTAATGCCGGAAAAAAAAACCCCCCCCCTACCAACAATACCACCCCGCCGAAACATTCTTTTTTGCAAATAACAGGGCTAAAGCCCGCTACAAACAAAAAAATACCTTCATCCGGGGCGTTTTCAGAGGCAAAAGGGAATGTTCGCGGGTTTCACTGAACCCACATAAAGGATCCCCTTGGCAACGAATATGGGGCCCAGGGTTACAACCTATACAGATGTGACAGAGTGAAAAGGCAAAAGGGGGGGGTTGGGCCCGTACATTTTAGATCACTTTTTTGCACAGAACTGCTTAAAGCCTCAAATGACGTATGGAATTTTTGCAGTAAAGGTCGAAACCAAAACCAGTCATTGTGGAGTTACAAGCCCCGGGTGCAACACCCAGCAAATTTCCCGGAACAGCTTTTAAAATTGACCACGTCTGGGAAAAACTTCCACTCCCCCCAACATCTTGCTCCTGGGGGGTTTTAAAATTTAAGGGACCTAAAATGGAGGGAAAATAGCAAAAATAAATTTTTCAGAAATAACACCAGGGGGGCAGCTCCCGATAAAATCACACCACAAAAAGCTTTAAATCTCTGACAAATTTAATTTAAACCAGCAAATAATAAGCCTACAAACGGGGAATACACTAGACCCATCTTCACAACAAGAGACTGATAAAAATGTCACCAATCAAAAACAAAAACTCGATCACAACATAATTGAGGTCAACAGTATGCATGGGCCCCAGACCGACAAATGAACTATCATGGGGGAGCATTCAAAAAATTAAACTTCAAAACAAAAACATAAAGGGGGACCAAGAAAACCAAGTCTAACCGATAAACGGGGAAATATACAAGCAACACAGACCCCAAACTTAGCCTAGAAAATTAACCGGGGGACTCGATTATACAAGGCTTATTCTCAAAGAAAAAGGGAGTAGATAAAAAAATAAAAAACAGGCGCTCCCTTTACAGGCGACGAAAAAAATAAAAAGGCGGGCTAAAAGAGGTCAATATATCAAAAAAGCGCGGGAGACACGTCAAAAAATAGAAAGCATCGAATTTTAACTAAAAGAATCCTTTGGGATCGGAATCGCGGGAAGAACTAAAAGCCTAAATGAAACGAAAGAAACCAAAGTATTTCTTCCCTATCCAAAATCAAAATCGAGAACAAAGTCCAGTATTGGGCCCCTACTTAAACAAGATGGGTCCCCACACAGAGACAGCAAGGAAATGAGGGGCTAAATCAATCCCAATATGACTCATTTTTAGCAAGCCCCTAACCAACTGGGGTCAAACCAAAATGAAAATTTTTTTAAGAAACCACAAAATTTTACAAAACAAGCCTACCATTTATCCTGACCCAAATGACTTTGAACAGGGGATAAAAAACATCCCAGCACTCGCCCCAGGCCAGACTCATGGGAAACCCGTGTTTTATCAAAAACTGCAAGAAGCCCCATCACGAGCCTTTTTCCCCCTATGAGGGGAGCTGGACACGGGGTCGTCCCTCAGTTTCTAAAAACAACAGACATACCCCCCCCCACAAAGGGGGGATAAAGCAACAGCAAAGAACACGACCAAAACCTAACATCCCATATCAAAAAAAATCTTTGAAAGGGGCCAAGAAGCAAGATCACCCCCCATCTAAACCCACATTACACAACCCCGGGGAACAGGTTTAGAAACAGGTCGCTCCCCGTCTGTCTCAACTACTGGATCATACGACAAGGTCCAAATGCACTAGAAGACAAAAAAAGCAGATGTAAAATACAATTTTTGCAAAAGCCTTCGACAATGTACCAGGCGAATAGCGCAAAAAATCCGCTAAAGGAATACAGGAAATGGGTCGATGGATCTATAATTTCCTCACTAAAGAACACAGAAGTAGTCGTCAACAGAGTAAAGTCCGGGGCCTACGGTGACAACTCGCCCCCCCAAAAGGGCACAGTACTAGCTCCCACTTGTTCCTCATCCCTATCCGAAAAGACAAGGAGTCAGCCACAGCAACCCCGGCCCCTTCCTTTCAGATGAAACCCGAATCTGCATGACATTTTTTCCATTGCAACACGCAAGCCCGGGCGACATCAACCAAACTTTCAGTGGGCTGCAAAAACAAATAAGTTAACGTGAAAAAATTTATTACTCAGATATGGTAAACATGAGAAATTAAATCATAGAGTACAAAACAAATTCTGGCCACAAATAAGCAAAAAACCAAACGTAAAAGACCTAGGAGTGTTTATGTCGGGGGATCCACCTTCAAGGCCATAACTTGTATCAATCGCATCTGCTAGAAAAATGACAGGAGGAAATGAAACCTTCAAAACTAGGGGGCCAACCCCATGATACACCTTCGGGTACTTGTTCACTAGGCGGGAAAAATTTGCTGCATCAACAGCACCTTTAAAGGGCAGGGAAATTGCCGACCTAAAAAATTACAGAGAATTTTCCGGGCGCGCAAAACGGAAAAAACACCTCAATTACGGGGAGCGTTGGGGTTTCAAAAACCTGTATTCCCTGGAAAAGCAGAGGGGAGATACATGATAATACACCCGGAAAATCCTAAGGGGCTAGTACCAAACTTGCACCGAAAATCACTCACTAGAAAGCAAAAAACTTTTAGACATGCACCATCCCCCCAATGAAAAGCGGGGGGTCACAGCACGTTAAGAGACCCAAAAATAAGTTTTCAGGGGCCCGGAAATGTTCAACTGCCTCCAGCACACATAAGGGGGATTACCAAACAGACCCCGGGCAGTTTCAAGCTGGCACTGGACAAGCACCTAAAGACGTTCCTGACACCGGGGCTGGGGCTCGTACTTGGGTTTGCGTCACCCACACAACAGCCTGGTGATCAGGCGCGATCCACCAGGGGCCTGGTCCAGCCCGGGGCCGCGGGGGCGTTGACCCCCGAAACCTCTCCAAAACTCCAGGTAACCCTTTGGGCCAAATTCCTGGGCCTTTTTAGTGTACCTATGCTCCCGCCAACCGCCCACAGGATGGTATGGGGTGCACAAAAAACTACCACTTCGGGGGCAAAATCTAACATCAAATCTTTTTTGCCGAGTAAGACAAATGAAATTTGTGTAAACAATAATTTCGCAAAATCTTTTCTAACCTAACGAAAAATATATATTTCAAGTGTTTTGTTTTTTATAAAATTATTGTAAATTTATCTAAATATTTTTTATTTGGTTTAAGGAAAATTATTTTGTGTTTGTTAAATAAGGTTAGGAAATTTTTTCAAGGTCATTTGGTAAAAATTTTTAAATTTTTTTACTTTAAGTAAATGAAAAAAAAATTTTTAAACATATAAAAAAATTTTAGAAAAGACTTAATTTTAAATTTATTTCTTCAACAAATTTTACTTATTTGTGTGTACGCCTGGGTATGGGTTGGTAACAGCAACCCCTCCTGCCAAGTGAGTGTAAAAGGAAACCCTGTAATTGTTTTACATAAGGTGGGATTGCGGTGTTTTTTTTTTCTGTCTCATAAACATTCAAGATTTGAGGTACAACTGCACTTCTACTTTCACTTAGGCCCACTACACATGCATGTACATAAATATACTAAATATAAAATATATATATAATATATATATTATATAATATATAATATATAATAATATATATAATATAAATATTATGTATATATAATAAATACAGTGGGCCCCGGTTAACGAACTTTTTCATTCCATATATGTTCAGGTGCCAGTACTGACCGAATTTTTTTTCCCCTAAAAATATTGTGAAGAGATTATCCATTTCAGACCCCCAAAACATACACGACAATCGACTTACATAAATACACTACAAAATTTGGTCGCATTTGGAGGATTCTTAAAGGGGGGGTCCACGTAATAGTATTAATATCTGGGGGCCTGGTGGCTAACGCTCTCCTTCACACGCGAGGGCCGGGTTCGTTTCCCCCAATAAAAAACATTGGGGCGTGTTTTTTTTCTACCTTTTGTCTATGTTCCCCACAGAAAAGGGGTACCTGGGGTCAGTCGACTGGGTGGGTCGCATCCGGGACACTGACCAATTTGCCCGACATGCGGACATAAAAAGGGGGCTTTCTAGTACATGGTCCCTCTTATCGTAATTAACCCCTTCCGGAAAGGGTTTACATTTTTTAAATTTACGATTTTCGAAAAAAATTTTCCCCATAAAAATTTATGTAAATACTTTAATCCTTTTCCTGAACCCAAAGTACAAAAAAAAAAATTTTTTTTACATGAAATTAATTATACTAAAAATAAAAGGGGACATGTGAATGAAACATTAACAGCAAACATTTACCTTTTTGGGCGTTTCTTCTTAGTGTAGGGAAGACGGAGGGGGAGAAAGTTTGGGATTTTTTTACAGTTTGGAAGGGAAAATCCCCTTTCCCCCAACACCTCAGGTACCAAATTGCTTTTCTGGGTTTGCTTCTCTTCTCTTTTTCTTAAAACCACAAAACCAATTTGAGAGTCACGGGCCCTTTCCCCTGGCAAAATCTGCCGGACTTGTTTCTGCAACTTTTCACTCCCAAAAGGGGGACCCCAAAATTTTCACAACTTTCCAAACATTTTCCAAACCCCCTTTCATACCCCCCATAAATTTTTCCATTTCCCCAATTTAAAAATCCCCAACTAAGGGCCCCCCACCTTCCCCCTCCTGGGCAAATTTGGGCCACTTTTTCTTCCGCAAATTTTTAAAGTCCTTTTAGTCATTGGGGTTTTTAATTTCCTCCAAAAATCCACCCCAGGAAAACCCCCCATCCACATAAAATTTTAAAACCCAAGGGGTTAGGGTAAAAAAACCCTTTCCCCCCTTTTGGGAAAATTTGGGGGGCCAAATTTTCTCCAAGCAATTTTCAAAAGTTTGGAGATGGGGAGCTGAAGTTTTTCCCAAAAATTAGGGAAAGGGAGGGGGCACAAAAAAGACCGAAAGGGGTGGTTTTTTTAATTTAAATGATGGGGTTTGGGGGAGGGGAGGTTTTGGGGGAAAGTTTTCTTGTCCCCAAAGCTTAAAAATTGGGCTCAAGGGGGATGGCAAAAAAGCCCTTCAGGAACGAGACCCAATTTTTTCCGGGAAAATTTCCCCTGGAAACACCTCCAAAAAATTTTCCCCCCATGCCTTACATTAGTTTTTCCAAAAACACACAAAATTTTACTCTCAAAAAACATTGTTTTTCCTGAACACTCTGGGATTTTCGAATGGTACACTAGAAAACGGCTTCACTTTAAAATCCCCACTAGCATTAGCACGAACAACGTTACCTGTCTTTCAAGGTTTGTGTCCTGGCAGCCCCCTTTTCTCCTGATAATGTAGGTCCTCTTTGGCATTTTTCCAAAAAGAGGCCTGTTTCTCACAATTGAACACTTGTTCAGGTTTTTCAGCCCTTGAGCCCTCGTACTCCCTTAAATTCATGCAAATATTTTTCAGCCACTTTTTGGCCCGAACTCAGCCTCACCCCCCTTTTACCACACGGTATGCCACTGTGGTTCTTAAAGCTCTCAAACCAACCTTTTTCTGGTCTTAAATTCCCTCACATCACCACTAGTTTCACAGTTTTCTTTACCAGATATCGTGCAACTGCCTCCTTTTTACAAATAATCGACATCATAAAACATCCCTCAATTGTTTTCTTTATCCACACCAAAAATAACTTGCAACCCCTTTGAGTCGGTGACTCATTTTTTCCATATTTACCCCCTTTGCAACAACAGCGTCCTTGATTTCCTTTTTCTTGGGCCCCGTGGAAGCTATGGTTGTATGGGGTTTTTTCATCTTGCCAGTTTTGGCCATACGACGCCACTTTTAATTTTTCAGTGATGTTTTTTTTAAATTCAATCATATTTTTCCCTTCTTTACCAAGGCTTGGACTAGGGCTTTTTTTTGGAGCCATGGGAAACTTATTTGTATTTTCAAGCACTAAAATGAATGGGAAAATTATGAAAATTTTTTTTATGAGCAAGGAGGGGGCCGTCCTCACTGGAAAACAATGCCACATGGGGGTGGGGAAAGGGGGCTGGGGGAGCCAAGCATAGACCATCCCGGGTGAATCTGTTCGCGATCAATCTACGATTATTGAGCCCAAAGTTTTTTTCGAAAATATCGTTACATTTCCCAAAATTCGATTTTCGAGGGACCACTGTAGTAGTAGTAGTCAATTTTTGTCACTAGGGCCCATTACCATTTCAGTACTTGTAGTAAATAAAGATATTATTTTTTTATTATTATGTTATTATTATTATTATTATTATATATTAACGATATATACGTGTATATGTAATGTATATAAAAAAATTTAAAAAAATATATATATAAAATATGACAGGGTGTATAGGGGGGGAATGGGCAGATGTTGCAAGTTATGGGAGGGGGTAGGGTTTCGAAAGCAGGGAAAATTTTTAGAGGAAGTGAGGCTCAAATTAAGGGATGTAGAAAGAGGGAAAATTTTTCCCAAAAAGAGGCCTTTGACAAAAAGGTGAGTCACCGTGGTTGTTTTAAATATTTTTAAAATGGGGGGGTAAAGAAGTAAATGCAGGGTCTTGGAAGAGGCGTGGAGTTAAAAAATAAAAATCACACACAGGGGGGAGTTGCACAGCCTCTTTTTGTGACACTGTGCTCTTGGAGATTCGAAAGAAGCGAGAGATTTGGGTTATGAAATTTTTGGGAGGGGGGGCAAAGAAGAAAATTAAAGGGAATACAGGAAAAGTAAAGGGTTTTGAGGAAAACAAAAAGATTAGGGATGAAAGATGAATATCAGATTGGAGGGGGAGAGTATGGAGGAGTGAAAAGTATTCAGAATTTTGGGGGGTGGACTGTCACGGGTGGGGCTATGAAAAAGGGAATCATAAATTATGAGGGAAAAAAAGGAGTGGGCACTTAAGTCTGTGGAGAAAAGAAATTTGTCCTTGGAGCAAAGAGGGGGAAAGTATAGAGAAAAGTTTACCAACGCTCTTATAGGGTTTAAGATGGGGAAGAATGTTGCGCGAGGAGAAGGGGGAGGCAGGGAGATGTCCCCGTCTGAGGGGAATGTGTGGGTGAATATAATCAAGAATTTGATTTGGAAATTAGGAGGAGGTGCGGGATTTCCAAAAATTTTGTCCAGAGGGCT